GTCAAGTCTGATATGTCAGCCCGTATGAATTCTGCCATTTAGCTAATTGACATTGCAAGTTTAAGTACAGATAGTATGTAATTATAAATCTTCATTAGGTAATTACAGAAGGCTTTTTTTTTTTTTTTTTCCTCCCCGGCACTTGCTAATGTTATTTTAAACTAGGAAATTCAATTTTCCTCGTAAGAACCTGTCTATATGTAATGCAGGAAATGACAGAACAGTGCTTTATAAAATGTCATATTTTCCTTAGTTGTATCGCCATTTATATAGGAAGAATTTGTTACAAAACTGATTTTAGTATCCATATAAAGAAAGGAAAATCTATTCCTGAGTCCATTTCTTTGTCTTCCCTTCTGCTTTTATTTCTTCAAAGTTGGGCTCATCAGTCTTTAGGCTATACATTTTAAAACAGGCTCTCTTAAGTTGTTAGCTTTGGCCTTGGGATGTGTTTGCTTTGTCCGCCAGGTAACAGTGTAGTTTTAATTGAGTTTCAGTGTTAATCTGATTATTACAGTTTGTATCACTCCAAGTCTCAAAATCAAGGAAGTTGTAGTAGTACGTGCTGTTGACTTCATAGAATTGGCAAGGAGATGTTGATTGGAAAGACTCTTTCAACTCCCATTGTTCAGAATCTCCATCTTTATCATCTGCATCTAGTTGTTCTTATGGAATGATTAGGAAGAAAGTGTCGTTCTCTGTCCATAATACCATGTTTGCAAAAATGAATGAAGTGATGACAGGGGCATGTCAGCAGATGCGCTGACCTATTGCACAAAACTAGCTGCGATCATAAGGGGATGACTTGCCTCTCATGCCTTGCTTTCATTTGTGACCTATTTAACTTGCAAGGTTTCAGTAATCTTTCCCAAAATTCTTCTAAATATAGTTTTCCCTAAAATTGATTTTTAATTTTGTAAAGGACAGCGAGAGGAAAATAATGGACCAAGTAGCTTCTTTCTAGCTTTTCGCTTTGTAGTGAGCAATTCAGGAAATGTACTAATTGTTATGCTTTTTCTTTAGCTATCAGCTGCTAATGCAGGCAGTGTGCTGCAGAAAGCTATAAAATTAGATTTAGTTTTGAATCAATTCCTAGAAGCTGAATTGTTCCAATTGAAATTTTGAAATTATTTTGCTTTGCATTCTTTACATGTTTGGCTTTAAATTTTATTGTGTGCCTATTTGTTATTGTGAAGTTAGAGTGCAGGGGTTAAGAAGCTAGATCTTCAATACTATTAAAAAGCAGTAGGTGGCAATATGTCTTTTTTTCAAGATATGTTAATATTGAATACCTTTTTCCTTTTCTAATTTGAACAGAGTTTGCTAGGCATTATAGTGAATAGTAGAGGCTTAAGCTATACATTTTTTTTTTTTCTCAGCATGTCACATCTGATTTAATTGATGGCATGGCAGGCCAGCCTTTTTTGATGCCTTGTTTACCAGACTGATAGTTGCTCTGCAAAACTTGTGTGTTTTTTTTTTTTTCCTCTTTAGTTTGCATGATAGATGTGATATATTTATTTCATGGTTATTCAATGAGTTGAGGAATTTACACTAACAATCTAGTATAATTCCACTAGTGTATTCCTAGTTGCAGGATGCATTCTGTCATGTTATTCATTGGAGCTTAAAGCAAAATAAGATTGAGTTTCATTTTCCTTTCCTAAATGGGGAAAAATAATCGTATATTTTCACTTTTTACTGTTTCTCAATATTTTTAGAAAGCTGCTTGATAATTTAATCAAAAGCAGTAAAAGTTCAAGAATAAAAAGAGATTAAAAGATGGCTTATTTTGAAACAGATTTTTTTGATGTATGCTTCTGTATATGAATGTTTTGCATTGTAGTATTTTCTTTTTAAACTTGGAATGTTTTTGTTGGCTTATTAAGTTGATATTAGGTGCAGTGTCTGTCTGTGCCCTTCATAAGAGTCACTGGTGCTGCTATACTGGAGTGCAGTAGCAGTCTGTGAACAGAGAAATTTTCCGTAAACAGCAGATCAAGAACTTGTATGTGAAAAGAGGAATCTGGAAATTTATAGATAATATGGATAATGGTGGTGGTGTTGAAAAAAGAGGGGTTTTGAGGCCTAATAAACATGAATAAGATGAACAGAGCAGATGTTGCTGGATGCAGCCAGGTGAGCTGAGATTAAATGTTGATGTGTGTGCTGTCCGAGGGAGTCATAGAGGCCGAATCGTTCTGACCTGAGTCCTTGGAGACAATTGTCAGACTCAGTTGGCTTGGAGACAACTCATTTCAATAGATGTCAAGGAAAATGAGAATGGAGAATGGCCAGTGTGGTATCTTTCCTCCGAAGTCTGTGTTGAGATACCAGCAGAGCATCAGAGGGAAACCACACCTTTTTAATTCTTTTTTTAACCTTTGTCCCTGGCTAGTTATACTGCGTTATCTTTTTAATAAAATACGCATTCGGAAGGAAACAGGTTCATACTTAGAAGTTGAAAGAATAACTTTAACACTAAGAATTGTTTTTCACCCATTGTGTGGGCTTTAACATCGTTTCATAGTAATTAAGAGTTTGAAAATCCTCTTTAAAAAATGGCTTTGTTATATCCTAAAGGACAGCTTTAGAACTTTGTTTTTCTTTTTTTTTGCATATTTTTCTGCTGTACATAAATTAGAGTTGGGTGATATCTTTGTGCTCATTAATATTCCTAACCTGAACCCACCAAAGTCACTGAGTGCAGAGAAAATAGAGATTGCTTGGAAGGACTCTACTTAATACAAAATTTATGTGTCTGTCCACTTACTTTGACCTGTCATTTGAAAAATTCTGTTGAATTTGGCAAATCACTTTTGCTCAGACTTCATGCTCATATTGACAAGGAATTTTAAGTAATTGAGTTTATATATTGAGTTGTTAACATTTTTTCCCATTCACTGTCAAAATACATTTTCATATGTTAAAAAGGAAAGACATTAGTAATTTTAATAATGTGAGCACATTAAGATAAAATTCAGTGGAGGATTCAAAGATCTATTGCCATGTGAAGCCATGTTCACTTCTAAAACATGCTTATTCCTGGAGAGCAAGACCTTCAGTAATTAAAATATGGTTAGTCATTTCCAAGAATGGTACATTTCAATGCTCAGAGTTTTCACATTTAAGTGCTTTATTTATTTATTTCAATTAATAATATAGTTTATTATTTAAGGACAAGCAACCGTACTTTTGGTCTTCTGTAGCTGAAAACTGAAGAATTTCCATTGATGATAATATCACATTTTACAATATGCGTTTTACCTTCATTGCATAATATTCATAACATTTCATAACATCAATACATAACATTCAGAATGTTATGGTTAAAACTGTTTTTGAAATCTCTGGAAGTGTTGGTTCCTGTGGCAGGATTCGGAAGAGAGCTTCTTGCAGCATTTTGCTCATGCGCTTCCTGCCTTTGAGTTGGATTTTTGTAGACAAAGATATTTGGGTGGTAGCGTGGCCCTGCGTGAACTTGGCTTCCTATGGGAGATCAGTGTGGGCGAGGTGATCTGGTGCTTCCGTAGCAACTTTACTTGGTCTGCTGCTATTTAAGGGCTTTCTCATCCTGTCTCTCTCTGAGCAAGAGGTCTCATTTTATTATAAATTATGATTTTTTTTAAGATAGTTGCATTACTATTCTTAGGGTTAAGTTTCTATCCTGTTTCTAGCCCCTTTTCCTCCTAGATTAAGAGACAGGACACTGCAGGCATTTAGATCCTATGCCAGATAACCTGAGGATGTAATCTATAACTTAGGTGATGGGGAAATTTATAGCGTGTGTGTGTGTTGTTTGGACTAAATGTTTATCTCCATGGCAAAAGGAATGTCAAGCTGTGCCCCTACGGGTGTAGGGTGTAGTACGGTACATGCAGACCTTGGCTGAAGATGTGTGCATCCTAAAGTGGGGCTTAACTGAGTGCCTCTGTCAGCTCTGTGCCATGACCTGCTGCGTGAGAGCGTCTGTATCGGGAGCAGCCTGGCTCTGCAGGCAGGGATAGAACCGTGTAAATATTGCTAGTCATTGAATAAAACATCTGGGTTTCTGACGGAAAGAAAAAATAATTCACAGGTAAGGTAGCAGTGCTGTTGCAACTAGATACGCCTTATTCTGTAATAATTACACCTCGCTCTCTGACAACGCATTTTTGAACACTGCTGGTTAAGAACGAGAAGAGCCGTGGCTGAAGGCTAAGACAGCTCTTGGGTTTCTAGGAGCGAGCAGTGGAGACTTCCTTCCCAACAATACTTCGGAGGCACAGATAAAATGGCTTCCTGTCTCCCCGTTTCCTGTATCCATGGCAACCTCCCTTTACCCAGTTATTACTCGGTTTCCTGAGCAAGCACTTGCGAAACCTGGGACAAAATGGGAGAGCTCGACTATGCCGGACAGAATATTGCCCTGGAAAACACTTCACAGAGTAGTATAGTAAGTTAGCCTGTAATTTAGCTCGGTGAGCCACGCAAAACAACAAAATAACGGAAATAATGAATGGCAAATTGGGGGGTAAGAATTTGTTCTCATTTATTTTGAATGTAGCTGAACTTTATAAGACTCAAGTGAGAAACGAGCCACCAATGGCAGGAAACTTGTGTTTTTTCTGTTAGTATTTCTATTTGAATGTTATTGCAACATCTCCTACTCATTTTTTTAAATATCTGAAATAGTTAAAGGAATAAGCAGTATGTTGAATTTGCTTGATGCCATTATTTTGGCAGCTTAGTTGCTTTTATGCCATAATCAATTAAAAATTCTCTAGCTAGGTTGGGGTATCTGTTTCACTGTTCGTTTACTCGGAAATATTTTTTAGTGTTGTTTGAACTCCTGGTACCTAAGCTTTATTTTGAAACTGCTTATTCGGCAACAGAGGAGAGTATTTAAAATAACAATCTGGAAAGTAATTCTTGCCTTTTTTAAAGATTGTACAAGTAAAACTTTTAAACTTTCAAATGCATTTATAAACTTGATCTTTTTTTATTTCTACTAGCGAAGTCAGAGATGAGTGAGAAGGCCAAAGACAGGGATATGTGTGGACTACAAAGTTCTCCACCCTGCATAGGAGCACTCCTGTATGTCCTTAGCTGTTTTCTTTTGTTGCTGCTCCAGAAGGAGACTCTTGGCTGCCCGTCCGTGTGCCGGCTCTGCACAGGGAGGCAAGTTAACTGCCGTAACTTAGGGCTTTCCAGCATCCCGCGGAGCTTCCCCCCGCATACGGTTCTGATATACCTCAGTGGCAATAATATATCACACGTGGCTCCAAATGAATTAACAGGCCTTCAGAAACTTGCTGCCCTGTACATGGATAATTGCAGTATTTCATATGTGCATCCGAAAGCTTTTGTGGATCTCCATAAACTGTGCTACTTGCATCTAAATAACAATAATATTAAGCGCCTGGATCCAGGAATATTTGAAGGTCTTTCCAGTCTTCGTTGTTTATACCTGCAGAATAATCGAATAGCTTTTGTTCCTAGAGGATTATTTAGTGATCTCCTTTCTGTTAGATATTTAATGCTTCAAAGGAATCGTCTCAGTGTCCTTGGAAGTGGGATGTTTTCAGGAATGTTAAGTCTCCAAACACTTAATCTAGCCAATAATAAGATTTCACGGATATCAGATTCAGCATTTTATCACCTTGAACACCTCGTGTATTTGTTCCTTGAAGGTAACAACTTAACGGTCGTGCCATCAAATGCCATTGGAATACTCAAAAATCTTGAAAAACTCTCTTTGTCTCACAATCCTATTGGATCAATACATCCTTTTGCATTTAAAGGACTTAACAGGCTCAGATATCTGTCTTTAAAAGGTGCAAAGCTAAAATATATTGCTGTAAATGGATTTTTTGGATTGAACAACCTCAGCCAGTTAATCTTAAGTTATAATGATTTAGAAAATATAAGTTCCAGCAGTTTTACTTTATTGCATAATTTAATGTATCTGCAGCTAGACAGAAATAAAATAGCCAGTATTGGTGACGGTACCTTTGCGAATATGGGGCATTCACTTAAAATACTAAGTTTAGCATTTAACAATATTACAGAGTTGCAACCTGGAGTGCTCAAGCCCTTAGTGTCTTTAACTCACTTGCAGTTAAATTACAATCCTTGGAACTGCAGCTGCAAAATGCTTGCCTTACATAAATGGCTAGCATCGTCTTCTCTCTCTGCAAAAATTGAGTGCCAAAGCCCGCGCCGCATGCGTGGCAGACCTTTACGTTATGGTAAGTTGACTCCATTTGCCAACTGCAGTAGCCCTACTGCCAGTCCAGAAGCGGTCTGGAAGGCAGGGGCTGCAGGTGGTCAGCACAGCACCACCGCTTGGCTGGTGGCCTGGCATAAAGCAGACAGGCATAAAGCAGACAACACGTCTGGACGGTTTTTCAGCGTGGGGGCTGGATATCTTAATTTCTGGGAAGGAGCTACAGCAACATCTGCTAACCCACTGCCTTATGAAAAGACTGCTGCTGAACATCCATCGCAGGCAGCTATGACATTGTCACTGTTGCCAGCGCAAGTGCCAGAGGAGACTGTACCTGTTAACACAACTGTACAAAATGCAAGTTTGTCTCCGTCAGATGCAGGCTCTGTGTCGTTAAAACCTTCCCTGCTTTGTACACAACAAATTGAAAAGCTGAATCAGGCTTTTGACATTTTACTGGCTTTTTTCATTGTGGCCTGTGCTGTAATCCTGTTCCTAACGTACAAAATTATTCACTTTAGACAGAAACTAAAGGTGTTAGAAAATTCGGGGGAAAAGAGAATAGAATATTATGGTTTTTATCAGCCTGGCAGATACAGCATACCTGACCCAGTGCAGTCTCTAACTCAGAATTCAGTGGGACATTCAGAATTGGACCAAATTAGGCTGCTCAAGAGAACAGCATCAGAGAGTCAGGCACAGGTCATACTGTTTGAACATTCAGCATTGTAATTTTACCTCGTTTGACGTATTCAGTGTTAAATTTATTATGGTCTGAAATGTCAAAAAAAATCAAATCAATTTACTAAAAAAAAAAAAATCTTTCACTGGTTAAAATCTACTACTTATGGGATTGTGGAAATGGCATGATGTCTGATGTGGATAAATATTTTTATCCTCTGTCCTTGTTGCAGGAATCTTTGATCTGTAACTCAAGTATATCAAAAGATGTGCAGTGAGAAGTGTGCTTATATATTTATTGCTTTACTTTGTCATCCTTATTGGTATTAAGTATCTATAAAAATTGCATAGCTAACCTGAAGATGAGGAAGCCAGATAGGTTGTTTTATCAGGATCCTGAAGCTAAAAAGTTGGGGTGAATATGAATAGAAAACCACTTTACAAATTTACTGTAATGAGCATTTTCTACTCTGCTTTTGTTAGTCAGCCAGAGGGGGCGGGGAAAAAGTGATCATTCTCACGACTAATACCTTCAATTTTGGGGGGAAACAAAAAATCTAAATTAAGATAAATTTGTTAATATCTGTGACATTTTTATATACAAACTTGTGTATTCAGTCTGTATAATGAATATATTAAAAAAGTGAATTTTCTTGTTAGCGTGCATCTCTCATTTTATGACCGTGATTGCATCTGGTGTTAATATGAAAAGCTAACATTCCCTTGGATTGAAAAAGACAGTTTATATTATAGCCAATAGAGCTGATTAATCTTTTTTTTTCCCAAGTGTTATCTTGTCATCTATATAGCAGTAATTTGAAGGGTTCTTTTGCAAGATAAACAGTAAAAAAAATGAGGACTACTTCTATTTACTACTCAAATATTTAACTTTCAGATTAAACTCTGAAGGGATTTAAATATTTGTGATATATATTTGCGGTTGTCAGGTCAAAATACGTTTTCTTGTTTGAAAGCTAGCTAAGCTTAGGAGTCTTATTTAAATAACGATATTATTTTACTATGTACTTTCCATTTGTTTCAACTTTTCTGTTTACATTATTAGTAAGTTATGCCTACTCTGCTGTAGATTCATTTTTGAACTGAATTTCTATGATTCTTTTTTCTAGTAACTCATATTTTAACCAGAAAATGTTCTAGAAAATTCAGTTAGTGTAAAACTTGCAACTAGTTGCAGGGGACTTACTTGGGTAGATTCTGCGTCTTCTATAAAGATGTGCCGGTCTGACAAACCTTGGTCATTTGAATTTTAAGTAACTTAGTTTACAGATAAATCAGTTAAGTCTACCATTTAGCATGAAAAAAAAACAGAAATATTTTGAAAGGTGTCCTCTCAATATGTTAATAGCAGCTATTAAATAAGTATCTTGCTGTTCCTGGCATTAGTATGGAGACCAAGGCAGTGTCCACATGCATAGACCTACCACAGTGTTTCTTGTTCCAGCCCTATTTCCTCACACCAATGTAACAACCACACATGACAAAATGTCCCAGTGTTAGGGCCGTTGCCCACTATTCAGTTCCATGCCTCTCTAGTCCCTGTCGGATGCCTGGGGTCTGGGATCCATCCCTGCTGGCTCATTTCATGTGCCAGCACGAGTACAGACCTGCACTGTCCTGACTGTGTTGCAGATGTGGAGCGAGTGTGGTGGGGTGTGCGTCTGGTGTTGCTTGTGGTCTCTTTTCTGTCTGCACTGAGTTTATTGTGGTCTCAATTTACTCTTTCTGATAAGGTAAAAATATCCTCTCCAAAGTTCAGAAAGTCTGCAGAAGTAGTGCTAACCCAACAGGCTTCCCTGTGTGCTTGTGTTAGCAGTTTGTAAGCGTGGAAGAAGAACAGTTAGTGAGTTCTACGGCTGCAGTAGGTTTACATTTTGAATGTACCCTGTATGTATTGATTATAATTAATGCTGTAAGGCACAAAATGACAATGTCTTCACTGGGTTAGACATCTGCCCCTCTCCTGCTAATATCCAGTAACAAATCCCCCATGGTGATTAGGGCTTTGGGTGGGTTAGGAGCAACACGTGCACCAGGTAGCTGTGGTGGCCTGTACTATTATTAAAATGGTAGGTACTTTCAGAACATGCTTTACTTCTTCTGAGGGCAATGTGTTCTTACTTGTATTCCCTGTATCACCTACTGAAATGAACTTTAGAACAGCTGTTTCCTTTCTCTCACTGGAAAAACACGAACCATGTTAATGACATTTTCCTAGAAGCGTATTCCAAAAAGTATGAGGCAAAAGAACTTATGTGGAAGATGTGCTATGCAGACATCTCTGGCTTAAGTGAGGAAATCTTTATCTCAGAGGACTTGTTCCACAGGTTTTTAAACAGGCACTACGTTTTTTCTCAGCAGTTTTATAGGATTCCTAGATTGTTTCCTTGCTATCTTTAGAACCCCAAAGAGATTCAGCCATGAAAGATGTAATATTTTGTTTTTGTGAATGAGGCAGCAAAGCTGCCTGAGTGGGAAAGTCGTTTGTAAAATGCAAGATAGATATTTGACAACAATTACAACAGTGATGATAACGAGACAAATGATACAAAAATGTATCTGTTTTGGTAACTGATGCAGAGTTTTGGAGTTGCACGTTTCATTGTAGAAAATGCAAATTCATTCCCTGGCATTTGTCTGTATCTGAATTTAAAAAATGGAACAAAAACAATCCTTTGAAAACAAAATAATAGTTTGAGTTGAATCACAGACATATCAAAGCAAATCTAAAAACAATTTTATAGCTTTTTTATTTTAATTTCATACTTACTTTTTCTAAAAATATCTAGTGCTGTAAAACATCTGTTTTTCTGGTATGCATAAGATTTTATTATACGTCTGCAAAAGTTTCCTTAGATACTATCACTGTCTGATGTAAAAGTCGCAACAGTTTATTCAGTTTCGATCCTAAATGTGAAAAGGAAATGAAAGCATTTTAAGAAAAATATTTGTTTACACGCTTTATTTATATTATCAAATATGAAAACTTAGTATTCATTGTCTTTTAAACTGAAATCTTGTAACTGAAACTTTTGCAGTCATCTCTGATGTGAACATCTTTTCCCTTACTGCATTCCTTAAACATTTTGTGGTTCACAGAGTAGGAGTCCATCCCCTAAATGTCACAGGGATGTTATTGTGGGACATAAGTCCACAAGGGCAGGGAGTTCTGCACAAATCACAGGAATCACTTATCCGTTAGATACAAGTTGTTGCGTTTCTGTGACAGTCTTGGAGATCATTGTTCTATGCCTTTCTTAGCCACCAAGGATACAAGTTTTCAGGGCAGGTACAAGTGAAGTATTGTGTCATTTGAGATGTTATATGAGGCTATGCAGTCTTTTCTCCAGCTCCTGTTGGAGAAAGGTGCTATCCTCTCAAGATGTGTGATGCCTCCCAGCCTTTTGCAGTTCTCTTAAATATGCTCATGTTTCAAATGACAGAAGGTGCATCTAAACATATGAATCTTGCTTGCACCTTCCTTTCTAGTTAAGTAAATTGATATATGTGTAGAACTGAGCAAAAATGTTTTTTTCTTTTTAGCCTCCACAGGAAGTCATTAAACTGTGTGGAAGGGGGAAGAAATACTCATAAGGCTGGAAAAAGAAAGCAAGAGAAGAATGTGCTGCTTCTACATTCTGCCCTTTTCTCAAGGGTTTGCTTATAAATTTTGCATTGAATAATGATTGGAGAAAACGCATAGGATTGTTAGGAATGAGAGCCAGTTCCCTGACCTTCCTAATTGCAGCAGCATGCCTTCCACAATCAGTTTTGAAATTCTGTGCTAATAAGTTTTTTTAAAATCTTTTATTTTATTTGCTATTACATCCAGGTTTTCAACACACTAACGTTATTTCTGGAATACACTGACAGACAGTATTTTTTAAGCAAATAATCAAAATATAGTATTTCTCACATATTTTCAATAACTTTAAGCCATTTTTATAGTTTACAAAAAAGAAAAAACATGGTTACTTCATAGTATGCTCAGCTAAGCAGTAATAAAAGGAAATTTAGCTAATGTGCCCTAGAAATATTGAGCAAATTTCCTTTTCAGCTCATTTGGCTAACTCGCCTTCCTGTTCTTTTCCAGTGTTATTCAAGATAAATTTTGTGGTATCATCAATATTTCGGTGGAAGGGCTGCATGATGTTATGACTGAAGATCCTGAAACGGGGACATACAAAGAGTAAGTGGAAAATATGATTAGTTTCTCTGTGTTTAATAGTAGTATTACATACATAAAAATATATACATATATGCAGATGAATACACACATAGATATACACATATGTACAAAAGTGTTGACATCTTGGCTGAAGATGTAATGTGGAAATTCAAGATGCACATGCACCTCAGTGCTGAGGGGTGGAGTAGAGGGCCTCCAGAGATTCCTTCCATATTCAACCACTCCATGCAAAGAGTTCTGTTTTCACAATAGTGGGTATCATAGCAAGATAGGAAATTTTGTGTCCTAAGAAGAGTGATTGTCATTTTGTAGGGGGAAAGGAAGAAAACTGCCTAGGAGGAGAATATGTTTAATTTTACGTTGTTTGTAAAACTACCTACTAAATGATGTCTCAACAGATTCATTTTTTTGCCTGTGGTTTTTGTTGACGTTTGTTAGATCATAATTTAGATTTAAAAATGTGTGTATTTATAGGTGTCAGTTTAGAGTTTTCATGAATATGAAATGGGATGTAACCAAAATCTCTTCCTAAATGTACCCAGTGTACCCAACATGGCATGGGAATGATTGGATCCTATTCTACAAGAATCTTTCTTCCCCTTCAGTTTTTCCACTTAAACTACCTCCTTCTGAGATTACTTTTTAGATGGATATAAGCGGGTGTGCAACAGGACAAACACCCTCAGGCAGTCTCATGACGTGAGAACAAGAGATTTTATGGCAGCGCTGGTAGGCAGGAGAGGCCAGACCCAGACTACATGGCCAACAGACTCGCACTGATTCATTTCCTGCTGCTTCCCAGAATCTTGATGGTATTACATTAAAGTTGGGGAAGTGCGAAGCACTGAATATTAAGGAATTTAAAAGACAAAGATCTAAATGTTTCATTTTCTCTGCAGTGATTACATAGTTTTAGAACTATAATAAGGCAAAAAAGGTGCTCTGCAGGATGTCTATGGGGGCATAATGTATTCAGTATGACTTTGTGCTCAAAATCAAACATTCTCTAACTTGCACACAGTTCCTTGGTGATGGATTGGGCTGTCTGTGTCGTAGCTAATGCAAGGGGAGCGTAGCCCGGCCCGCAGCCGGCTGTGCGGCTGGGCTCTGCGTCCCGCTGCCCGCGCCAGCCTGCGCTGTGCCCCAGACCTGCCCGTGGAAGGGCAGGGTGACCCGTGCCAGGGGTTGTCTTAATGACTCATCAGTATACGTGATTTAATCCCAGAACCTGGGAATGTGCCTTGGCACTTACTTATTTACAATTATAGGCAATACCATAAGAGTATGTTCTCTGTCTAAATGCACTGCTTCGCCAGCACTTACTGCAAAGAATCTTCACAGAAATCAAATAAATTTTTCTCCCAGTTTATTTTATAATTTAAGGTTGAAGACCTGCAGAACTGTTCACTCTGATTTTTTTCAAGTTCTGAACATTGTATTTTGCTTTATTAAATACAGGAATGCTGAACCTAGAACACATTTCTGTTAGCAGATGCTGAATGTCATGTTGAAAAATTCTGACATTTGTTACACCTTTGACCATTATCTGGAAGTAAATAAAATGGGGAGGTCCTTCTGGCTGTCCAGATTCAAGAAGAATGAATGTAAATTTGAACTGATTCAGGGAAAGAAAAATATATTGTGTACTGCTTATCATATTATCTAACTACCTCAGTGGGGAGTCTTAAAGAACACACATGTTAGTATAGAAAAATCAAGGCTGAAGCAGTGTATAAATGAGCAAGAGGGAATAGATACACATGTAGAAAGAAAATGAAGTATACAAATACACTGAATGACTGTGTTGGCCAGAGAATACTGGTACAAGCTGACTGTAAACATATTTAAACTGAAAATTTGAAGAAACTACTGTAGTTAGGTCATGGAGATCCTGGAACCAACTTTTGAAATAAAAATCTGATAATGTAGAGAAAGCTGCTCAGACCGCTATCTCTGAATAGATTTCACCTATGTTTTTATAAAAGATGAGTCAGACTTTCCCTTTCTTCTTCTTTTGAGTTATTTAATAGGCAGAAAGAAACCTCTAGAAACCAGGATTTTTCATTATTTCTGTTTCTATACTTTCTGCAAAAACAAAGTTAAAATATGCTATTGCTATGCATATTGTCACTTATTAATTGGGGATAAAGCAAAAAAAGAGAAATTTGAAACTTTTGGTTTACCTGCTTACAAAGGCACTTTAACTGTAGAAGCTATTTCCTTTCTTTCCACCTAAACATCTATTACTAATTGTCTTTAAGATTTTTAACATCAAAAATGAGTAGTAGTGATTATACAAGGCTTTCAAAATCCCTTTTTTTTCTCACTGAGCAGTGTGAATGTAATGAGAAAGCCTTACCAGTTTCTAATGTACATTTTGGATTATGTGCCATTATTTTACGATGATAAGATGCAGAGTACTTGTTTTGCACTTACTTGAAAAGACTGAGAAATTCTAGCCAGGAAGAGCAGATTTTTCTAATTAAGTTTTTATTTCTTTTTCTATGTGCAAAAATATATTTTTAAACCGGAATTTGATGCAAAGTATGTCTGTATTCCACATGTCTTTTCCTAAAAATTATTCTTACTGAAAGATAAAAATGGTGCTGTAGAAAATATTTTTTAATTTAGCTGAAATGTTGCCATAGAAAATGATTCCATAAAAATATATTTTAATGTCATTTAAAATCTAAAAGCACTGTATCTAATTCATTTGCTTACTCTAAATAATTATTTTAAAGCTATTTTATTAAGAGGAATACACTATTCTTGAAATGCACATTGAATTTTTATCTAGTTTTTAAAATGTGGCATAAATAGTGAATGTATTTTTTAAGGTTACTTAGTGTGAAAGATTTAGTGAGGTATACTAACTTCTCTTTCTCGGTGTGCCAACTCTTCCTCAGGGGTCTGGATGAGAAAGCAAAATTTCACCCATAAACACATTAATGCTTACAACACTGATAAAATGTATGAAACCTAAAATCTGTCCTGTATGAAGGAAATCAAAATAAAATAGAATTGAGAGAGTGAGATTTGAGATTCACCAAATGTTGTCACTCAAAATTTTACCGAAGTATCTCCTTCCTTTTGAATATGAGTTTTCATTTAAAAAAAAAAAAAAAAAAGTGACTAGAGCTGTTTTTACCACTTCAGCTTGTGAAAAAGGAATGCTGTTTGGAATCATTAAACATGCATATCATCTTCCTGTGATCAGGTAGGCAGTAGTATCAGGCACAGGAAGAGATTTTTCTTTTGTGTATTTTTAACTTTTTTCTGTGATAGTGAAGATATTTTCTCAAGAAATCAAAATTTGTTTAAATACTGAACTATAAAATAACTCTGGTAGAAAAGCAGATAGAAAAAAAGCTGGAAAAATAATTGCACTGATTTGAAATGTGAAACTATTGTCATGAAGCAGATTTGGGAAAAAAAAGCCTAGAAGTATTGTGAAAGAGAAATGCCGAAGTTCATCTAAGGATTCCTTTCTTTAGATGTGAATGAAACACACAAGAACATGGTTTGTAGGTGCTGTAAAAAAGATGTTTGTAAAATACTTGCACTACCTGAATGTTTTCTGCATTTTATATCAGCAAAGATTATTTGACTGTCACAGCAGACTTTTTTTCTTTTTTGTCAGCACCAGACACTCAGGAAAACACTTCCCTGAATCTAGTAGTGGATGGCTCCTGAGAACAGTGCAGTTTCGGGAAGCTTAACATCTAGCTTCATTGCAATATTAAGATCTATTTGTCTTGCAGCAGCAATGTTCATTTTAAAGGAGGTCAGATTTTTAACTTTATGAAATAGAATGCTGCCTTTCAAAATATAAACTCATAATGCTTTAAAACTCACATTATGTTCTTTGTCTTAATGATGCTTGAACCACTGTTATGCACAATTCAAATATATTCATTATAAAAAGAGTATTTCATTTTACCAAATGTAAGCAAACTGCCTTTTCAATATAATTGAATTGCTGCTGTGTAGTCAGCCTGTCAGAGATGTTTTGTTCTGAATTCAAGCCAGAGTATATTAATGTATAAAAGTCAGGTTATTGACAAGCTTTTCAACTGGACACAGCTTATATAATAACCCTGGGGCAGTGCTTTCTGCTGCTGCTTTAACTAAAATACCAGCCTGCAGTACTTACTAAAGAGAAGTTTATTTGCCCTTGCCGATATACCAGCATGGTTGTTTTTCTCATATAGCATAATTCCTGTTCTCAAGCAAGAATAAAAAAAAAAATCTATGGTTATAGTTTAATGTCTCCTTCTGGCATCCTGGCTTTTCCTTCAGTGTAACAAGCTTATCTTAAACTTCAAAAATAAGGAAAAGCTTGAGGTTTTGCATCTGCTATTCAAGCAGTTTGTTCTTTGTCATAGCTTAGCATAATTAAATGTAACTTTGGGGTTCACCTCTGATATGTAAAGCTTAGTGATGTTTTGTTTGCTTTACAGATGCTCTTGGAACATTGAAAGAAAAAGCAATTTTTAGGTTCTTTTAAAGCTCCACATTTTTAACAGATACTATAAAATGCCGTATATGTTCCTTTTTTCATTATGTTTGTTTACCTGAAATTATGCTTTATGCCTCTCTGTAAAAAGAAGGTTCTTCGTTACAAAAGTGAAAGAGTGAACTGTCGATCGCTTTTTACCAAGTGCATATCAGTTGAGATGTTTATAAAATTCCCAATCCTGACATGTGAAATACTGGAATGCCTTGTCCTTGTTACTGAGGAGAACTTTCAAACATTATTAGCGAGGCAATAAATATGCTACCTCATCACAAAAAGAGGGAGAGTCACTGATGAGTAGGATTTTAATCATCAGTTTACTTTCCAACCTTGTAGATGATGATTCTTACCTAGAAGTTGCACCTCTGAAGCATCTATATTTTACTTTTAAAATATGTTTTTTTCTGTTAACAGACTGAACATCCTGATAGTTGTGGCAAACTGGACCTATCTGTTTGGTTAGTGAATTTACATAGAAAGGCCTTATTTTTTTGTTGTATAAAAATCTGTTTTTGAGCAGACACATTACTCTTTTTGAAAAGAAAGCTCTCAATACAATTGAAATTATAAAAAGGCCTAGTGTTGTTCGAAGAAGAAATTCCAGAAATCTTTTGGCAATAAATTAGATGCCATATAAAGTTCTAAATATAAATTCGTGTCTCTTGCTTTACAAAGTTGTAATCATAATTTTAGTAAAATGAGCCTATTGTTAAAAGCAGTGCTGGTTTATAAACAAAATGTGTGTTACACATGCGTTTGCTATTTCCTGAGGAGCCAAGACATGGATTATATTGCCTTCCTGTCCATCAGCATTGTCACTCCCAAACTTCAACAGTTTATACATTTCTAAATTTCCACTGAGGGAAAAGAAGGCAAAATTTGATAGCAGTTCTCCAACTACTCACAAATATGTGGTAGCTCACCAGACAGCTTGTCCATGCTGTTTGTTGGCCCCTGGTACTGGGGAGTGTCATAAAAGATGTGGAGGACTACTAAGGTTGTTACATGGATGATGTAGCGGTGACACAGGGCGCATCTGTGTTTCTCTAGGGTCACTGCTCTCAGAAACACTGACCTGATAATAGAGGTTGTCTGTCTTGCATCAAACTCTACTATCTTTCTCCTAGGTTATTTAAAGGGCTTCAAAAACATTTTTTTAATGATAGTGTGCATTTAATCTATTTTTATTCCCATTTTTAGCTGCATGTTGATGTCTCATTTTGAAGAGCCCAAAGTTACTGAAGATGAGGAACCTCCCACAGAGCAAGATAAAAGGAAGAAGATGGTACGTTTTCGATCTGTTGTTAAGCTTTAGAATTGATTATATGATTCACTCTTGTCAGCTTAAATTTTTTGCCTAATTTTTTGCCTTTGGATTTGGCTGCTCTTTCATTCTCGGAAAATTCACCTCTTGAATTAAAAAAAAATGTTCTGATGGGAAACTAGTCTCAGCTGCACTTCTGCATTCGTTTTGATTTTGGGGAAATTCTGCTAAAGGAAACATTCACAGAAATCAAATGCTTTAATACAAAAGTAAACATAATAAGCATTTGTTATGAAAAATTTAGGGACGTAAACATGCTGAAATTTCATGACAAGCCAAGTCTTCAGATCTCCTATTTCTTTTGAAAACAAGAAAGCTGTATTGAAAACAACATGATTGTTTTATTAGGTTAGGTCGGTTATTGAGCATCTATTGATTTGTATGTTTGCATAAAATATTTTTCTAATATAAAGAGCACTTACCAAGTACTACAGATCTAGATATATATGGATTAGGAGCCTTGCATGGTGAGTATTTTTCTTACTTATATGATGTAACATTCACATTTACGTTGTTTTTGTGTTAAGGGAAAATGGTTCCTTCCATTTTTGTAACTTGCATAGAAAAATGTAGTGTACAGACACTGTGGCATAAATTGAATCTGAAAGGTTTGTCACTGGATAGTGTCAAAAAGTGGAATAGCCTGATTCAATAGATTTGTGTAACCCCCTCATACACATCTGTTTTAATTGACCAGCCTGTATCCAAAGGAAGACTTCAGGACCCTTTAGTAGTTCTTCCTTACTCCTTGTAGGACAGACTGAGAGCATAAATAATTTTTAGCTGTTTCATCTTATATTTTTAAGCATTTGGGTTTTAAAACTTTTTAAAAATATTAATTAATAGCTTGCTTGTTTGTCTGAAGTTATGCTCTGAAGTTGAAGTTATGCTCTGTTGAAGTTTCATAGTCAGCATATACTGCTGCTATTTGTGTTTGCTCTCTTGAGAGAAGTTCTTAGTGTTCTGAAACTTCTGATTTAAAACTTATGTGTATGTGTGCATATATATATATGTGTGTGTGTGTGTGAGTGTGAGCATTGTTTTCTTTGAGCCTTAAAAAAGCATTAATTATTTCAGTATTTAAATTGCTTTTAAAGGAATGATTGCAAGCTTCTGTAGACTGTATTATATTTGAATTTTCTTTCTGGCTGTGGGCTTAAATGAAATTTGCAGCGTTTCTTACAGAATTATGTTATTTATTCTCTGTGTGACTTTGGATAATCTCTTGAGAATCAAGGCACTTTTTTTTACAACCAGTATAATTCTTCCCTGTTAAATGGTCCATTTCACCAATATAATGGTGATAAGCGTAGTCATAATAAAGGACCTGTTCCGTGGCCACTTGTAATGCTGAGTTATTGTCCATGTTGTTTTTGTTTGTGACTCAAGAGAAGTGGCTCTGCTTTGGTGCTGGTGAGCCAGGACCATTGAGGGCATGAGGAGGCAGGTTTGTATTTACATGGAAAAACATTACCCTGAGCCATACCGCTTGCTTTCCCATTTTCTTTTTCAACAACACCGTATTCTTATTTCTTTGTATGACACTTCTTGCAGATGTTTAAGGAAACAAACTGTCATTGATATTAACCTCTACTCTAAATGACTTCTGAACCAGCTGAAATTGTTTGATATAAAATTTGTTCTGTGACAGAAATTGCAACAGGTGTTTGTCACAGAACGAGTGGTGGGGGGTGGTGAGTGACACAATGTTCTTCACTCGTGGGAAAGAAATAGGAATAGGTTTTATTGGTAATGACAATGGTTTCACGATATTCTATGGCAAGGTCACTTATTAGTTACTGCATGGAGGTTCAAGATATACACAGAATCATCAAGGACACCCTCCCGTTGGGTCACGAGGTTCAGATTGGACCCCCTTGCTTTTCAAACTCCTTCTGAGAGGAGTCTGGGTGCGGCTGGATCCAGTCCTAGTCCCAGACCTGGTCAACGGTTTATGTCTAAGGGATTTGTGCACAGTTACAAAGTAAAGTTTACAAATTCAGAAAGAGAAAGGCGCACTATAGTCACTTACCACGAATCTGGAGTGGGAAGGATCTCTTAACCTTGAGGAGCATCCTTGAGAGGTGTCCCTGCTCAAGGGGAGATCCCAGCATGCAGACCACTGCAATGCAAGGAGAGCTCACTCGGCCCTTGGGCTGTCCCCATATTTATGGGATAAGATGATTGACTGATAGTCGTTCTTTCAATTCAGAAATGACTGTTGGCTGGTGTGCTCACAGTTAGCCTTATCTCCCCATCAGGATAGGGCCATCAGGACTGTTATTGATGGTTAATGTCTGGGTGGGGGAAGAAATCAGGGAGGCAACTACCAGGAATGTGGTAGTTAAGACCTGAACAGGGCTACAGTGAGAAGTCAGGATGAGCTGGGGAAGGAGCATATCTGTCACAGTGTTTGCTTGCAAATGATTCTGATCATTCTGGTAGTAGTAGTAGAACTGTCAAATATTAGCTAGGCTTGTTAATTGTGTCCTACCAGCACAACTAGAATTTGTTTTTAATGTTTGAAAAGACTATCCCAACCTCCTGTACCAGAGGTTTCTTTCTCTGTGTTAGAGTATGAGCATTCAGACAGCTCATTTGACATTTAGAGTAATATCAGTAGCTGAAATGAGGTTGAGAACAGACATTTGTGGTGAGAAGAGTAGGTGTTCACCCTCGTAGGTGGTCTGTGTTTCTAGGGACTGTTACTTCATTTTCCTTGGAAATTGATTTAGAAAATATGAATAGAGGGAGAATGGTTCATAACCTTGCATTGTGTATAGTATATAGACCACCTTTTGTGTGCACTTAACATGTATGTTTTAATAACTCCAGTATTACTGTTGAAAAGGGAGTTAAGATTTTTCAGCAATATATTTGAAACTGGGAAGATAAAAATGAAGTGATGGTTTTATCTAATTCTTAGATTAAAAAAAATCATTTCAACTTGAATAATCATGCTGGGACTGTTCTAAATAAAGCTGTACATAAATGTGTAAGCTTTGGGGGTTTTCTTTTTTTGCTTTTTGGCCTACTATAGAAAGTATGAGTCCTTACATTATAGATCCAGAAGAAAATACATTGCCTTAAAAGCCAAATGACTATATTCTATCTGATAGCATGGTTTATTAAAAGCAATACTTTTAAGGCATAAGTACTATTTTTACTGCATATTTTTTGGTATAATTTCTGTATAGTTTGGCTAGAAATGAGCCACAGCTCTAACCGAAGGCCCATTGAGATGTATGAAAAAAAAGATATTAGTAGACTTTTGTATCATTTAGTTTCATTGTGTAATCTTACTTTTGTTAAAGGATAGAATTTTCACATGATTTTTCCAGCCTTTCCCAAAGCATCATAATTTGTAAGATACTTGTTATTGCAATAAGTAGAATTTTGTGCCCATCATTCTTGACCGTCTTTACTATCAAAATATGCATGTTTAAATTGAAGAGTATCTCTTTTCAGCATCCCCAGAAGTCTGTCTTTCTCTCTCTCTTCTCTCTCTTCCTTTTAACTTTCGGAAACCTCTAGGAGACTTTGACTATTTATTACTTGTTCTTGTATTTTAGATAGCATTGTATTACTTCTAGTGATTAGGTCACCATTTTAGTGCTGGATAATACTTGATTTTTTACTGGAAATTGTGTGATTTTGACATTAACAGTATCTGAGGATATGGAAGATAAAGACCAACCTAACCAAAATTGTTTTAAAATAAACTTAATTCTGCAGAATTTTGTTGATTCTGGTGAATTCAGCTGTGTGGACAAGGCAGGAATGGACCGTCAGTTTTTCTACCAAACTTATATACTGCTTTTCAAACAGCTGTTTAAAATCAATGATGTGTATACAGCTATTTATCCTGTACACAAATTACAGTAGAAGTATAATGTTTTCTCTAAACTATATTCAGTAGCCGATTTTTCAAAAGTTATTTTTCTAACTGGAATTATTCGTAATTGAAAAGACCCTGCAGGCCTCTGTATGTCAGATGTAGGTATTTTAACATGCTAAAGGAACCCAAGTATCATTCAACAACACTGCTTTTAAATACCCTTTAAGTAAACCTACGCTTTAAAAATAAATTACATTAATCAAAAAGAGAAATTCCTATTTTGGAGAGAATAAAGAAGAATGTTTGTGTAAAGATGATAAAATGCAGCAGTAATAGGCATCAGTATAAAACGTGGGTTAAATGCTGTCACAACTAGCATTGGTGCTAGTAACCACCTTTTTAATATATTGAGTTGGAAAGCTATATGAATGACAAAATGGTTAGAGACTAGAAATGATACAAAAATTGTTCAAGGCAGACAAAACTGAATTCAGCTGTGATCTTGCAATACTGAGTGACTTTATGATACGACAACAGAAGATGGCAAATGTCAATAAATGCAAAGTAATGCACATGGTGGGAGGAAAACCACGCTGCTACATTTACATGGTAATGGGATCTAAATTAGCTGTTACACTTGAGAAAATTATTCTGGAGTCATTGCAGATTGTTCTCTGAAAATGTTAGCAAATGTCAAAAGGACAAGATGCTAGGGATTACAAGGAAAGGAACTGAGAGCAAAGCAAAAGCTATAGTATGCTAGAAATATCCATAGTGTATCCCCAGTCCTTATTGCAACCAGTTCTACTAGGAAAAAAAAAAAGGGATAGAGCTGGAAAAGTTAGACATTTGCTAAGTGTGGACTGATTTCCATGCAAGGTGAGGCTATACTAGGCTCCCATATTTCTCCAGGGTTTTCTGAGAGTGAACTATATATTATTAAACTTGATGCATCCTTCTCATATTTATTGTACATGTAAAGTTCAAGTGGACATTGTGCTTGTTGACATGACTAGAAATTTGGATGTACTGAGGTTTCTATGGCACTCGTATTCAGACTGAGTTGTCTAAAATGGAAATTCCAGAGACAGAAGTTCAAGTGGTTGTTTTTTGATGCACTCATGAATCCACACAATCTGCATGAGAGATCTCTAAGGAACAGTTATATGTCTAAATAGATATAAGGTATATGCCTTATCTTCCATCTTTACTATGGAAGGTAAAAGACTGATACTGTAGAATTATGATCTGAATGGCAATGGCAAATGAACATCTTGCAACAAATTTCTGTGCCGAGACAGGTTTAAAGCAAACAAAAGTAATTACTTTTTAAATGCAGCATGTAATTGAGTTGCTGAACTTATGACTGTGGGCCATTTTGGAGCCCGTAAATCTAGTTCTTAATCAATTTAGACAATTCAAGGAGGATGGATATATTGGTGCCTCTTTAAGTTCAATAATCCAGCTGCACCTTTTGGCTCATGGGGATTTCAGTGTTGACTTCAGAAAGTTTGAAAGGGAAAAATGACTCTATGTTCGTGCTGCTTCCCAACTGCCTGAGGTAGCAGACAGAGTACAGGGTATAATAGACTCCTGGTCTCACCTGTACACCAGTTCTTACATGGTGCTGCAAGAACAAAAATGAGATAAACAATTGGCTGAAGGTGGTCATTTCAGAAGCAATTAAAGTTACTGCTTGACAGGAAAATAGGTATTCTTATTTCATATATTGTCTACAGCAGTACCCGCTTTGTTTTTGAATCCTTGTTATTCCAGATTAAGCAGATGTTCCAGTCATAATTTTAGTTCATAAACAATCTTAAAAAAAATGTAAAGATTAAGGTCTTTGCATTTCCTAGTCCTTTTTTTTTTTTTTTTTTTGTGAAGAGTTTCGAGAGCAATCAGCAACTTCTTACCCTGCAAAAATATACAGGATATCTCAGTTAAGCACTGAATTAGTTCTGCTTTCAAAAATCAGACTAAATGTGCTTCTCCATGTAAGCCTACCTCCTGAGGTAGGGTTTAATAGTAATATTTTTTCAAGAATTATATTTTCTGAGAGTTATGTTGAATTATCAATCTACTTATCTGCAGTGTATCCTATGTAAAGTAGAACTTTACAATTAAGATTCACTAGAACTTGGGAAGAGTGAGGTTTGGTTGGTTGGGCAGCCAGTTTGTCTGAATCGGAAATACCCTACCCACCAGTTTAAAGATAGTTCATTCATGCTGAGAGTAAGATTTAGTGATCGATAGAAAGCTGACTAGACCAGTCACTCTACAGAGTTTTTCCTAATATTCATTATATGGACAAAAAATACAAAGAAGCTGATAATGGAGCCGCTTAGAGCACCTTCCAAGCTGTTTCGTTGCCAAATATGCCTTCAGGAACTGTTGAAGTTTTTAATTTGAAAATATTATTTTTTGCTCTTCTCAAACTGGAATGTATTTCAATGCAAAATTGTGCTGATAGGACTGCAAAACACATACATGTATACAAAAAGCTGGTCCCTGATTCAGTTTTGCAGTCTGAGTCATCAGTGTTAATTTTTATGTGGTTTTGTTGCGTGCTGGACTGATGTCAGATGTTCAGCACTTAGCAAGCTTTTTCCGTTAAAATCAAATACAATAGTTTGAAAATGTCTTTAGGGTCACCTCTTAAACAAGCTAATACTCTAATTTTGCAATAACGAAAATAGTTAATGGACTAATTACTGACCTCTATTAAGGTCATAGGATTGAAAAAACACGCATTGGTCTGCGCGTTCGGGCACAAGTGGAATTCTGTTACGTTCAGGAGGCAGCTTTTTCTGGCATGTTTAAATGTTTTAAGTCTTAAAGTCTTTTCACCTCAAACTCAGTAGCATTGACTGAAAGTTGCTTTTAGCTTAAAGATAGTAACTAGGTGCACTTGTGCCAACGAGTGTTAATTGTACTGAGAATCTCCCTGCTGACCTGCAGTATTGCTATCCTCAGCTGCTGGAGTGGATTTATGCTTGTGGTAATAAATTAAACTGGTTTTTGTTAGGTTTTCACTTGTGCTGATAGAAGAAGCCTTGCACAATAGTACATTTTTTTTCAGTTACTGTCATCAGTAATGGGAAGCCACACACAAAATTACTAGCTTCATTAAAATATTATGAAAAAGAAAATACAGAGTTAGAATGGTTCTGAAATCAAAGCAATTATGTGCCAGAGTTGCATGGCATGGAGTGGCCTGTTTTTGTAATAATATTCTACAGCATCCAAACCTAGCAAGTGAATTACGAAAAAATACTAACTTTGAATTCTGTATTATTTAAGACTTTCTCATCTTTCTCATTTTGGTTATTTTTCTGGATTAATTGCTTCTCAGTAGTATTGCACAGATTTTTCAGAGGAGTTTTGAGAAATGCATGGTCGTCTACCAAGATACTGTTTTTTTATTATAGGAGGTGCTCAGACTTGAAGTTTCGGTGAGACTTAGTAAGGATTAAAACCCTTTAATGTGGAAACAAGACAGCACTTCCATTCAGACCATGTAGGTGCTCACTGGGATAGTACGACTAGAGCAGCTTGATACAATTGGGGTTTGAAAAGTTTAGGCTGAAGTTGAGTGAAACAAAGCCCTGGTTGTCACTATAGCACAGAGGTTTTATCTGAATTCTGTTTGTTCTTTTGGGTAGCAGAGGAGCTACTCTAATACGGAACTGCTGAGTACAATTTGCTTTGGTAGAGTAGACAGTTGATATTTTGAAGCAATTTATTTTTGAATTTGCTCGCAGTAACACTGAGTACTTTATTTAAGGTTTTATGGTAGAGTCCATTAGTGATATGTTTTTGACTCAAAACGTGACGTAGTTGGTTTTGGGGTAAAAAGGCTGTTGAAGAGTGGCATTTTGGAGCTGTGTGCCGGGTGGCTGTCGTGCGTGCCATTGGTCTAGCTTGTCAGGCAGAGTCGCAAGGACGGGAACACTTGTCTGCACAGCTCTAATGCTTAGATTTCTGCACAGGATTTCCTGCAGTAATTTGGTGAAACTTGCTGGACTAGCAGATAAAATAGAAATGTGGCATGCTTCCCAGATTATAATTCTGCTTTAGCAAATGCAGTGGTTCTGAAGTTCATTCTTTCTGTGCCCGGAAAGATGGTCTTTTTTTCACCCTGTAGATCTGCAAAAGCAGTATTACAAGACAATACAGGTTACCTTGGCAAATCTTGATTACAGTAGTTGTCACTTAGATTGTTGCTAGCTCCTTTGAATGTGAAAATTCAGAAAATTGCATATCCTGGGGAAAAAAATGTAAAAAAATGCCAAAGTATTATCACAATTAAACTCCTTTGCAAAAGACTGCAGTGTTTAAAAATAAATAATAAAAAGATCATATTTTACCTTTGAAATGTAAAATAGCTGGGGAGGAAAAAATAGTGAAGATCAAAGGCTAAGGTGATGATATTAGGAATACTGAGAGGATGATTAAGAGGTTTACAACATGAAAGGTGACCATAATGTGAAGGAAGAAAGAACTTGCAATCACTGATAGATGGTGCTAAAAAGTAGTCTGCTTATTCGCTCCAGTTGTTCATAAGAAATATAGCTTCAGTTGCTTTTTTGTAGCAGTCACAGTGATTTTGTTTCTTTTAGTTTTGCTCTAGCTTTCTTCGCTTTTAGTTGTATCTTAAAGACTAAAAGTCCAACATAAGTGTTTGTCTTATTTGTTTCAATCAATAAATCTTACTTGTTTTGACTGATATTGTTTTAAAGGTGTCATGTTTCCCATTCCACGTTAAACCATATCTAACATATTCGTTATTTTACTGTACCAGAAGGAAAAGGAATAAAAATGTGTCAAGAAAGTGCAATGTTTTTTTTTTGAACATTTTTATTATTACTTTACAAATTTATCTGTGAAAATTATGTAGCTTACATGGTGAGAGTGACCTAAGCTTACTGCTGCTTAAAAAAAAAAAACCCGAATGTTTGGCTTAGGCGCCAGACAGTTTATGTTTTCAGTGATGATGTGTCTGTTTGAATCTGTTTGTCAGTTCAGGTGGTTTAATGAATAAGACACATTCCCTATTTGCATTCCCACTTAATATAAGTTCTGTGATGCTAATTGTTTTTCATGACTTCTGGTCAGAGAAGAATTTAATGCCTTATTTTTTAACTCTTATCCAAACCAACAAGAGAATTTATGATCCAAAAAATGTAGATATTAGCTGAATGCATTCAAATTCAGAGCCTTTTATCCACAGCAATAATTTTTCATTGTTTACGTAGTGGCTGATAAGATAATGTTAATAACGCAGTAAGACTATGCGTAAAATGATGAAGCGTAAAATAAGAATGAGAAAATATAGAGGATGTTGTGCAAGTTGAATATGCCCCAGTTCTTATGGAGGTAGCAGTACAGCAGGGTATCATGAACTCAGAAGAGTCTCCTGTTTCATTGGCCTTTGCAGTCTAGGTGGTCATGTAATTTACCCAGATTTGATTATGTCTTTATGCATCAGGAAAAATCATTTCAGCTAGTGTAGTTTAATGGTTAGAGAATAGGCCTGAAATTCTCAATAAAATGGCTTTTTATTTCCAGCTGTTTCTGTTGTTTGTCATATGAATTTAAAGCAGTTCAGCTTTTTTTCCATCTTTTATTTTCTTATTAGTATAATCAAATTGACTATACCTTATGAAAACTTTTAAAGTACCTCTCATGGTAATGTCTGATGGTCTTCATAGGAATAATAGGAAATTAGCAAAGCAGCTTTGAAATCTCTTTATCTTATAGAAGGGCAAACTCTAGCAGCAGCTTGAGTCTGTGATTTGAGAGCTGTTCTTTCAAATACTTTGAAACTGCCATCTGTTTTTCATCTGGGAGATAAATTTGATCTTTGCTTTGTGAGAATTCCTCTGCTAAAATCTTTGTTTCCCTGACTCGGGTTATAAAAGCAATGAGTTAAGTCACAGACTGTTTTTTACTGTTATTTATTTTTTTCTTATCTGTTTCCACAGCTTGCATTGAAGGACCCTGTGCACACTGTGTCATTGCAGCAG